ATTGTTCTAGAATATGGTATTGCGAAACCATGCCCCATTTTTGTCACTTTCTCTTAACACTTTTACTTTCCGAAACTCAAGAATAGCGGTCCAGGCAGTATGAAAACACTTTGGTGGAGATGGGTTTTTGTGTTATGTCCTATAATAATGAAAGTCCATATATCTTGCGATATAAGTATGCTCTATTACTCAACAAATATTTGTCTGATTTGAAAAAACACTCTTCCTAACGTTAGTAAGGGAAGCTATAGATTATGTTGTAGACGACCCCTCCCGATATAGAAAGCCCCGACACTCTGTCGAATGAGACCTCTATGTCCTCCGTTAAAAGATGAACAATCTTTTCATTTATCTCATCCCAGCCAGGTAGGGGTGCGCCGTGAAGGGTGGCACTGATTCTGAGGACATTCATGTCACCATCTTACCATCAGTCATGACCCATTTGTCCCTCTGACAAACATCAGTTGTAAGGGTAAGGGAGCCACACTCCAACCTGTTTGAAATCACGACGCCGAACTCTTCCTGATATTATTACTAGTAGATAATTTCGGGTCTTTGATCACAAATTTTAGTACCTAATGCTTGAGTTTCATGATTAGAAATGTGACAATACGGAGATCACACATATATTGTGGTTTTCTCTTATATTCTGTAGATCGTAATGTAATATCTGGTATAAAATCATTCAATTATTGGTGCGGACTGTATTGTATTATTGTTCTCCTGCTTGTCCTGCTTCATTGTTGCTCTTGGCAACAATGAAGAACTGGAAAGGTACACGATATCTATCCATAACAAAATAGACATTGCCTATATGGAATCCTGTCCGATATGGATGGTTCAAACATATGGCACAACCAACACATGGTAGTGCCCTGAACTGGAATACCTCAGGAAGACAGCGAGAAGGATCTTTAACAAGGTGAAACGTACAAGACTCGAAGAGGACTGGGGTATATATCAAGCCAACCTCAGAGAGTTCAAAAAAGTCTGCAGACAAAAACAAAGAGAAGCCTGGAGAGCCTATTGTGAGGCAGCCGAAGACTTCCCACTAGCTTCTAGGCTACAGAAGGCACTCTCAAATGACAACCATAAGAGTATCGGCATCCTGACGAGGGAAAATGGCGACAAAGCCGCCAACTTCCAGGAGAGTGCTGAGATTCTTATGGAAACTCACTTCCCAGGTTCTGTCTTTTCTGTAACGATGTACTCAATGGATGTACCAACAACATCCTCACAATACGACTGGCAATCTGCTAGTGCAGTAATTGATGAGGACAAGATAAGACGGACTATATCGGGCTTTTCCTCCTTCAAGTCACCAGAACCCGACGGTATAAGATCAGCTCTACTTCAGTGGGGACTGGATACTCTTATGCCGCACCTGGTTGGAATATTCAGAGCCTCTCTAGCTCTGGGGTATATTCCCAGTAAGTGGAGGTAAGTAAGAGTAGTATTTATACCCAAACCAGGTAGGATGGACTACACCCTACCAAAAACATTCCGACCAATTAGTCTCACATCATTTTTCTTAAAAACTATTGAGAAGCTATATGAGCGGTACATAAGAGATGAAGTACTAGTTCACAGTCCACTTCATCCAAATCAGCATGCATACACTCCGGGAAGGTCTACTGATTCGGCTCTTCACTATGTGGTTGGCAGAATCGACAAATCATTGGACAACAAAGAATCCACCTTGGATATATTCATATATATCAAGGGAGTGTTTGATAAAACAACTTTTCCAACAATTGCCCAGCAACTACACTCCAGGAATGAACCCCTTGAGAATGCAGTAATGAGAATGGATACTCAAGATGCTCTCTTGTAGAGCAATAAGTATCAATGTAGAAGACATCACAGTGAAAGGGCTGGTCATGAGATGTCCACAGGGAAGGGTCTTATCACCCCTTCTCTGAAACAATGTTCTGGATACACTGATTAATCACCTCAACAAAAATGGATTCTACACAATTGCATACGCAGATGACATAGTTATCTTGCCGACCGGCAAATTTTTGTGAACACACTGTGCGATAGAGCGCAGAATGGGCTCGAATTATTAGAAATGTGGTACTATCCTTGACAAGAAACTACAGAGTAGAGCAGAAAGAGCATATGTGGTTTATGAGCAATGTTGGAGGAAAGTGGGATGCGCATGGGGTCTTTCACCCTATGTGGTCACCTGGATCTACACTGCAATAATAAGACCTATGTTAACGTACGGAGCCATTGCATGGGGACCGAAAGTTCTACAAGCAACGGCCATTCAAAAATTATATCAAATACAACCACTGGCTTGTATTTGATATAACCACTGGCTTGTACATCACAGGAGCAACACCAGGAACAACACCAACCGCGGCAATGGAATCAAATACGGGTCTGACCCCTCTGGACCTGTACGTTAAGGAGGTTGCGTTAATGACCATGGTACAATTGCGCACGGCTGGTGTGAACCTCGAAGTAGGAATGGGTCTATTGAGGCTGGGCCTATGGCGAGAAGCGCTTACTGGGCAACCTCTGCTGCGGGCAACTTGTGATGCAATTGAACCCAGGTTTTTAATAAACCCTACAAAATACAAATTAAACAGAACACAGAGTCAGATGCTACAAATGCAATACGCATATTTACAGACGGCTCAAAAACCAAAGAAGGCTCAGGATGTGGAGTGTACTCCAGATCACTAAGCTTAAGGATTGAGTGGGGAATGGGAAAAAATACCAACGTGGTCCAAACAGAACTGGCTGGTATCTCAATCGCCACAGAAGAAATAACCAAGAAAGGAATTTGTAGCAAAAACCTAACAATTTGTACTGACAGCAGACAAGCCCTATTAGCCTTGAATAGACAACGTATAACCTCAGGGCTTGTACTAGAGTGTCACCAAGATTTAGCCAAAGCCTCGGTAGACAATAACATTATCCTGAGGTGGGTTAAAGGGCACAACAGGAGTAAAGGTAATCGCATTGCCGACTCTTTAGCCAAGGAAGAGGCTTCAAACTAAGAACTCCAGGACCCAGTGGCACCTACGGCCTGATGACTTCGACAATTGTGGAACTAGACAAATGATACATCCATGCTCAATCCGTAGAGAGATGGCATGGAATCAGAGGATGCAATCTTGCCAGGATCACCCTGAGCCACCCAGGGAAGCTGGCGCACAATAACCGGTATATTCAAAAATAAAACGATATTTTGAAACGACGAATTATCGATGAAAATTTTCCTATTACTGCCCTAAATGTATTAGCGAAAGCAATCAATCAATCATTTCTAACTGGTTCGTGTCCCTTGTTCTTAAAAACTTCGATTGTAATCCCTCTTCACGAAGATGGTGATAAAGAGAAGCCTTCGAACTATCGCCCAATTTCTCTCATTCCGTCGTTAGCAAAAATTATTGAAAAATTGATTGAAATACGTTTAACCGAACATTTGAACTTCGGTAATACAATAAGCTTCAAACAATTTAGATTTCAGTCAAACAAAAATACTCATGATGCCATATTTTCATTTTTATATAAGTGTTTAGTAACATTATTAGACGAGAGATCACAACATCAGTCTTTTACGATTACTTTGAAGCATTTGACTGTGTATATCACAAGTTTCTGCTCAGAAAACTTTATCTCTATGGTATTGAGGATATTACTCATGGAAGTTTCGAGGCTTAACTATCGGGTGGAAGTCAAAGAGTTGAGTATTCAACAGTATCTGACATATCTAACGGAGTACCACAAGGCTCAGTACTTGGCCCTACCCTATTTCTGCTCTATATCAAGGATTTGACTACCAAAATTTACTTTATTTGCCATATTATGGCACAAATCCAACACAAATGATCTACATAATGTCATCTTCTCAATCTTCTAAATCTCAGATTGGTGTAATGCAAATTTATTAGCTTATAATGTCTCAAAACCAACGTTCAATCTTTTGATCGTTTTCTTGATGTTATTCTCTTAGGTTCGAATTCGAATATGATCAAGAACACGCCATGCAATAAGTTGATAATATGATAATGAGTTGAAGTTTGAGGACCACATACTTAAAGGAAAACTTTCGTGTGGACGAATTAGTACTAACTGCAGCTGAAACGGTCTATTATTCAGTAGCATTATCACATTGAAGATATGAGGTCCCTTGCTGGGGTGTATGTACTCGATTTGAGTCGATTTTTATTCTGCAGAAAAGGGCATTACGATTTCCCTGTAGAGGCAGGCGGCAAGATTCGTGTAGTCTTTTGTTCGTCGAAAAAATGTTGTCACTATATGCTATTTTCATTTGAGAAACAGTATTTATAGTTCATAATTATAGAACAGAACTTTCCTCGATTGTCTCTCATCATGTCACACGTCAGATCCTAAATTTAAGTCTTGCCTTATCCCACCGACCGACGTTTCGACAAAGTCTCATTTGTCATCATCTGGATATTCCTGTTGAGTGTTTGAAAGTCGGTCGCCCTTACTCGATCTGCTCCCAATAACGTTTGTTACGTGTTCGGAAGTGGGCTGTCCTTACACGATTTACTACCTACTAATTAAATGTTGTTGATTTTTACCTGAGTTCTTCTTCTTGATCAACCTCTTCTTCCCGTAAAGGTTTGAAATGTTGAATCTAGATAAATATTTGTGTTTCCATACATTATACAGGCTTTTCAACAATTATTTTTGTGTTTGTGTGTGTATATCTGTTGTAATATGTATATATGTTTATATATGAGTATAGGTATGTTATTGTGTTTATTTTGTATATAACAAAAATATTTTAGAAAGTAAGACATTTCAAATTTATAATTTTCATGGAAGGACTATATATATTTTTATCAATTTACTAGCAGATACTCTGTGATTTCATGTACATGCTTAACTATGCATTTTTTTCTCTGCTTCAGAAAATGTTTACCAAAGCTTTGTCAATAAGAATTTCTCTTCAGACAATAAAACATATTTATCATTTATTTTATCTACGACGACAAACTGTACTTCCCATGAAAGAATGTTTATACATTATCAACAAGCACCGAATGGATCCTGAATTCCTTCGTGTCTTTCGACTCCAGGACTAGTTTTTCTGGTGAAACCTGTAAGAGTGAGTAAATATGAACGTTTAGTCGAAGAAGTTGAAACTATCGAGGTTAATCTTGATTATGACTTCGTACGATGTCCGAACGGGAATGAATCTACTGTTTCAACTCGTCATTTCGCACCCCAAGGGAACAAGAGTTTGATAGAAGAATCAACGCAAGAATTCGAAAATTATCCCCAGAAGTCTAAAGAAAAAGAAAGTAGTTCAGTTGAATAGGCCAAATGCGGCTAACGAAAAGTCGCAAGAAGAAACAAATATTTTGGGTAATCGTTCAGACCGAAACAGATATCATCCGAAATATTCGGAAATATTCAGATGCAAATTGAATGTTGCCATGCATTTTTCTTTAGAAAAATTAGATATTATGCAGCAGACAATGTGGCTCCTTGTCGTTACAATCTATATGCACTTTCGAATCACAATGGGACTACTTACAACGGGCATTACACAGCATATTGCAGACACCCTTATAGTGGCACGTGGAATGAATACAACAATTCACACGTGACCCCAATTTCACCAAAATCGCTTGTGAGTGAGGAGACATATGTCCTCTTTTATGAACAGGAGGGAACAAAGCAGTTCTTTTGAGGTGTTTTTCCCTTCTTTCTTTTAATAAGCTAAACTCTGTTGATTGATTTGTATTTCATGATTCTACTGATTATAAATTAGGAGGGACGAATTTTATATAATTCATTGTGTAGGGTAATTCCGGGAGAGATGGCCCCTCGGGTGAGATGGACCACCATGCGTATTTCCAAAACTAGCCACTAGATGTGAATGCTAGTTTTTCAAAACTTCTAACTTCCGAAGAAAATATTGAAAACGTAATCCTAACAATTGAAAAAAAGGCTATGGATTTAAAGTTGAAGGAGGACAGAAAAAGACCAAGAGAAATGACCAAGGTATCCAAGAGTGCTCATAAAAAACAGAAGAGTGAAGATAGAGTCATTAATGACGAGAGTGAAGGAGAAGAGGACTGGAATGAGGATGAATGTGTGTTTTGCCTTGAAGATTACAACAATACAACAAGTAAAGATGACTGGGTGAAATGTAAAGCATGTTCAAGATGGTCACATGAACATTGCACTAAATATGGCGACCTGTGTGACAACTATGGCCTATGAAAAACTTAAGAAACGGTTGATTAGTATTAAGAAGGAGAAAAGATGAACTTTACACTCTAAACATTTTAAAATGTAGTACCTAAATCGTAGTTGGTAAATGTATGTGACTCATTTTGATTTTATACTGATGTAGCAATATAATACACATTAAAAACCTTTCTTACAATGGATCAATTAATTTTATTTATTTCCTTCAAACCTGATCCATCTCTCCCATAGACCATGGTCCATCTCACCCCTATACCTCAGGTGAGATGGACCGATAGTACAATTTTGTTTTGATTTTATAAAACACTTTATGACATATGTATACATGTTTAAACAGTAAATACATATTAAGTTAACTCCTATGACTCACCAGAAGAATATCCACTTCTCTGTGATTTAAATGTATGGAGTTATGTGTGTTGGAAAAAACAGGGGCCATCTCTCCCGGAATTACCCTATTATAAACTGTATTATCTGTATTCTCACTCTGTATTCTAAACTTACTATTTTTCTAGTATGTTGCATTTTCCTGAAATGTATGTATCACTTGGAAAGTATTATGTGGGGGTCGTAAACACCAGCCAAAAGTTCTCTTTTGCAATTTATTGGAAAATGATTTCAATTATTATATAAAAGCATACTTTCCACATTTCCATTTTTCATGTTCTTCATTAACCTTCATTACCGATGGAACCCTCACACCAACGCACATTACCGACGGTAATTAACATTAACAATGTACACGCTCGACAAGTACATACCTGCAGAGGGGTGATTGCTTCTGGCGTGCCTGTGTGCGGGGGATACAGTTGAGTCAAACACATGATCGCCTCGTTGCAGAATTTCAATCCCATCACCTCTTCGTCTTCCCTGCCGTATCTGGAATGAATTATTGGTTGCATGAGATGTAATCACTTTGTTGCCGGGAGATGTATTGGTCGAAATTTCTCGTAATTTGTCATTGAATGGATTCATTTATACCTTACCAATACCGTTATACAGAGTGGTCCAACAATGCTCCGAGAGAATGAAAATAGAATTCCTTGTATTGGAAGGTGTCCAAACATACTCTATATATGTTATCCCATATTTTATAGTTACTGATATATAGATTTTAATGGATTCAATTATAAATTGTTTGTTTGTATTTAAACTAATTTCAACACTGTATAGTTTAGTGTAAAAATACTAGGAAAACAAAAGGAGTGTTACAAGGTCTGCTGATCGATTCTTTCACGCTCATCTATGTAAAAAAAGAAATTGTAATGATTTTTTTAAATGTATCAAGCCATTATGAAACCAGTGCCAATAACTTGAATGAATGATCAATTGATATTGAACCTGCAGTGGAAATCTAAATAAAAAAGAAATTTATTCACTAGTGTCCATGAGTTATTGCATATTGTTCTTGTTTTTTTCTTTTCATAGGAATTCACAGAAAAAAATATCAGGAATATCCAGTACAGAGAAGTATGAGACAATCTAATAAGAGGAGGAGGATTCAACGTTTTTTCTTTATGTATGGAAATATCAATAATTTCATAAAAGAAACAAATGGAATAATGTAGACGACAATTGAACATATTTAGCCAACCAATTGATTTCAGCTCATGTGAAATCATATAATATCTTCTTCTGAAATCGTAAAATGTGGCTTCCGAAGAAAAGCACCATAAACTGTATACAGTTTCAGCGAACATGTTGAATGGTAACTTTGAGTCTATTTACAAACCAAAATTTCTTAACTCTCCCGATGTAGTAAGGAGTATGACTTTTAATCATTGATTTAAAAAAATATTCATTCGGCAATATAACAAGTCTTCATTAATTATATCATTAACCTCCTACGTATCGTTCATATTGAAAGAAAATATACTTGAGTGTCGTCGGCATATAGATGATAAATATAATAAGAGAAATGATGATGGAAGTTTGATTTGTACAATGTATATAAGAGAGGACTAAGGATGGTACCCTGCGTTATCGTTGTACTCCCTGGGAGTTCACTTGTTGCCGACGACCCGTTAAATATCGCTCAAGAAATTTCACTGACGCTCTGGTGTATACAAAAGGTTATTTAAAATTAATAACAATACCGCACGATTAATCGCATCAAAGAAAAGGGTGTAATTTATCATAATACGCACAGATATTTTTTTGATATCTATTGAGTTAACTGTATCATCACTAACAGAACTCAAGGCAGATGAACAACTGTATGCGCTTCTGAAGCCAGACTGATAATCAGAAAGTAGTTTTCGATCTATGACAAGGGTACGAATGTGTTCTTCTAATTTTTTTAACAAAACTTTTGATTGCAACTAATTAATACTTTTTATTGTATGATTATCACTATAAAGGGTTTTACAAAAACCGCGACACGTGTTTCGCTATACAATAGCTTCTTCAAGCGTAAACTAAAAGTTACTTCTGAATTACAACCATTTTATAATCTAACATATTACATACTTGTATGCCTACTTTCTAATGAATGAATCTCCCTGAAAAGATCAGGTATGAATTCATTTGAATTCATTCATATGAATAAATTTTTTAAGAGAACTGTAAATATACTATTTTTACCTGGAAATGAACAGATTCCAAAATGGCGAATTATTCAATTCAATTCGATCGTTCATAAGATATTGAGAGTTTTTGAATTTGTTTTTTTCCATAGTCTCCGACAGGTTGAGTTTCAAACCTTTCTTCTGGAAATGGAGGGACTTGAATTCTGGAGATCCAACTTTTTTTCGCTATTGATCTTCCGAACTGTTGCAATTTTTATATGTGTTTTTGTCCTCGTGCTCATTTCTATTTATTCTATTTTACTTCCCTTCGATATACAAAAAATGCTTTCACCGCGATGTCAATCGAAGGCTCACATCTAACGAAAATTTATTATACGGTGAACGCACACACAAAGTTTCGACAAGAATGATGACATTGTTTGAAAGAAGTACCATAGTGAAATTCAACTGAGGATTATTAATAATTGAAAAGTTTTTCAAAACTTGATACCCATGGTTCAATGAATTGCAATGTTATATCTGAGTATGCCAAACATATGTTTAGTCTCTCTCTATTTGAACATCATTTATACAGTTAACCGTTCACATACAGTTTTATTACTCTTTGTGTGGGGTTAGATACCAAACATATATTTAGATTTATGAATTCACTAAATTGATGAATATTGGGAATGACAAAGAGTTTGATGAAGATCGTTTTTGTTTAGCCGAATGCTATTGAGCATAAGGAATGTTCTGATTCATTTTTGAATTTATTGAGATTGGAAATATTTCTTATGCAGGCTGGCCGAAAATTGAATAAATCTTAATCGTGATAGAAAAAACATCACTGTGTTTGACTCTTTTAAAATGCTGGCAGGTTTATGGATGAATTAGTGACGAACATTCTTTGTTTCTCTATGTTTGTTGATTGAAGTATAAATTTATTTGTGTACACTCGTTTTAGGTAATTGTGTTTCCTGATACAGATATCAGAGTACAATTTATGTTTTTTGAATAATATTCTCAAGATTCTGTTTTGAATTATTTGAAGGATATTGAATGAATTGTTGAAAGTACCATCCCAGGCAACAATACAATACCTTATTACAGATTCTGCTAGGAACTGGTATATGGTAATCAAATGTTTGTACAATTTTTGTAATATTTCTCAATTCATAGAATTTTTTAGTTTAATGTCTGAGCCATTTCACAACATATTCGTAGTTTATATGATTATCCTATGTCATAAACTGATCCACAATAGCTCCTATATACTCAATTACATTTGTTCTTTCTATAATCCACATCCACGACAGTCTCTGTCAGTCAGTGAGTCGTGGATGTGTATTATATTATTACCCGTAATAAGGTGAATATATTAAATTAGGTTTTTTCACATTTAGACTGAGGAGGTTTCGATTAGACCATATCTGAATATCTCTCAGTCCCATTTCTGATTTATCATATACCTCCTTCTAACTACTACCTGCTAATATGAATGCTGTATCGTTCGCATATGGGATGAGATGGCCCTCAAAATTGCTAATTGAACAGAGACTGTTGATGTGAAAAATGAATAATATGGGACCTAAATCTGTTTCTCGCGATACTTTTGTTTCAACTTTCATTGACTCACTCAGGTTATTATCAACTTTGACCTTTTGTGTCCAGTGTGACACATAGCCTTGCTATCTGCTAAAATCTAGCACCGCTTTTTCGGTATCGGAGTTAGTAATGAAACCGTACTGTCTGTATAAAGGCAATCCTAATTTATTACTTGAGAAATATGATGAATATGAATCAATAATACCAAACATTCACTTATCTTATTACAAAAATTAATGTAAAACATCACTCAAGTTCTTCAAAATATGAATGAATATTATATTCATGGAACAGAACAAAAATCACATGAATAATGGAAATTGTAAATTAACATTTTTCATAACCATGAAATGTAACAGGAAAGAATTAGACTATCATACGTTGAAAGGTAAGACCTCGTTAGTCTTTAGCTCGCACAAGTTTTGACTTTTGAGAGTTGTCGTTCGTAGGGGTGCGACAGCTGGTTAACGGAAAATCAGATTTTGACCAGACTAGAAATAATTTTCAGAATTGAAAATAATAATGAAATTATTATTGAAAGTTACTTATACTTTTTTTCCTTCAGTGTCACTGGCATATCTCAGCACTGCTTTTACAGTGTCTTCAACTATTTTCAAGGTTCATCCTTGGGAGAGTCGATTTTTTTCAACACTAACTAAAAGTAAATATTACAATCGAATAATCGGGGATAAATTGTTGATAGAAGACAAAATAGATATGTTTTGGAGGTCATACAGAATGCCCAGTGATTTTCTCCATTTTGAAAAAGATCGGAAATCATCTAGTACTTGCCTTTACGATTATTGACTGACCTAGACCTTATAGTAATGTGTATTGATGAAATAATATAAAAATTGAAATCATCATTATTACTCAGCCATGATCATTACGATACTCAAATTCAAGTTCACAATGGCCGCTGATACTTATCAACAGAACATATTATATGGCTCACTACTGATCAAAACATGAGAACAAAATCTGCGGCTACAAACACATCATGCGCCACACAAATGATGCGGCAATGGTCCGGCACGACCATTGTCGGAACATTGTCGATGCGATTTAATCACTTCATAATGGACCACTTATATTGAAACGTTGCTATTAATATGACGATGTTTCTAGTGATAACTCAGCAATGAATCGACCATCAACCTTCACGGGAATCAATTCATTTGACTTAGTCCCAACTATAGAAATCTTGTTCAAATTGAAAGAGGAATGTTCCTCAGGAGAGATTAGCTTTTAGAAAAGAAGTGAAACTAATTATTTCGGGACAGCTTTTTTTCAATTTGTATCTAGAAGTAACTTTTATGCATGATCTGCAAATTTTTGTAGAGTTGAATTACTTTCTTTCTTCCTTTGAAAGTTTCACACATTTTTTGTGTAAAGATGGAGAAGTGGAAAACCCTAATTTTCTTCAACTGTTCTCTTCTTATAATATACTTTTTTCAAATTTGAATACAAGTCGTTCCAACGAAAACTTGACCCCCCCTGTAAGTCAGAAACGGACGTCAATTTCCACTTCTAGTGGGACTAATTCTGATATGGAAATCATACCCGGCACTTCACCTCCCTGCCGTCAGCATCCTCTCCCCCTATTTTTTTCAAAAACATGGGGGGTATTTTGTCCCTCTATTACTTCCGTATTTTATTTCGAAATTGGTTCATTCGTAATTGAAAAACTGAAAGTTGAACGTTCTATTTAGGAAAAAACAGAAAATTTGCTGTCGTTCATTTTATTGAAGAAATCAACAAAAG